GACTCATTTATTGCAGGTGTTACAAAGCTTATAAAGGCACCCGGAACTCCCCCCCCCCAGGGGGTATCTTAAGGATGGTCATGTGCTGATCATGCACTCCTCAGCAGTGCGGAAGTATTCTTCAGACTTTCAAAGCAAGCCAGGCCATGCCCCCAGTAACTTCCTTTTGGACCTATGCAAGGTGGGGCCTTTAGGTCCCCACACTGGAAGACTCTTGTTTCCTTAGGATCATGTACCAACCCTGGCTCTTACAGCCTTTCCACCCCTTTTTCTGCACTGGTCCCTGAGCCATGGGTGGATGGGGTGTAATATAAGAGTTTTATCCAGTGACACTCTCTCTACAGTCTCTTATTCTCTACACTCTGGGTAACTGTGGCCTTCTGTGTGCTTAGAACTCTGTTGCATGAGGAAGCTTTGCTGATGAGAGTTGAGAAATGCATTAGTATTCTCTCTACCCCCTCTGCCGCTATGTTCCACAAGTCTTAGGTTTAGAGGTTCCGTTGCAGATGTGTCACTTAGGGCTGGGCATCTCTCAGACATAAATTCTCTGTGTGTGACCAGTTGTGGAACTCTGTAGTAGTCTCTATCTGTTACAAAAAGAAGCTTCTTTGATGAGTGATGAATGATGTATTTATCTATGAATATAAGGATCCATATTTAGCATACAGTTAAGAAATTACATTTGTCTAAGGGTATGACAGAGGTAGGGTATTCTCTAAGACCTATGACCTCTCCATCCATGTGTATCTGGCTATGTTTACATAGCCTTTGAGTTGTTGGTCAGGGTACTTCAATAGACTCCCAAAATAACACAGGCCATTGCCATAGCCCTTGATTACCTCCCATAACTTGAAGGTAAGACCCTATTTCTGAGACAGGACATATTTCAGATACAGGACTTGGAACAATGGAGCTGGAACTGACCTGCAAGCCTCCTCCCTGAAGACTAGCTCTCATGGTTCTGGAGGATACTATGCAAGCTGCTAAGGGAGAAAATCAGTCAGTGGTCCAGCCCCAGCTTTAAAGCCTAATAATAGCAATGGCCAGCACAACAAACTAGTAGGGCAGTAGTAGTGGCACTTTTATCTTAGGGACAATCCACAGCTATCTAATAGGACTTAAAGCCCTCTCAATGGGCAGGAACTCGTGTGTGGCACTGTAAACACAGTCAAATACACATTTTGCCTATTCTTACCACTTTCTCTTAATTTGTACTTTCCCATCCCTTAACTGTCCCTCTATTTTTGTACTACAACTACTGTCTTTCCAGAATACCTTTCATTCCTTACCTAGCTGGCAAACTTATTCTTTGGCTCCAAGTTTAGTTGAAGTATCATTTTTGACAATGTTTCTAATTCTTTGTTCCCACCATATTGTATGATGTTAAATTAATTCTCTGTGAGTTTTATACATCTCAACTATGAGCTAGTTTTAGCAACCTCAGAAGTTGATGGGGAGAAATAAAAGAAATAGTCATGTCAAAATAATTAGTGTAGTGTCTTCGCATGATAGATATTCAGATATTGGTTCTTTGATCTTCATGTAGCCTTATGTGAACAGTAATTATGTGTCTGCATCTCATCTTGCAACTTGAGATCCTTGAGGGCTAAGGCTGTAATTCAGTCGTAGAGTGATTGTCTATATGTGCAAGATCCTGGGTTCAAGTTCCAGCACCAAAAAGAATAAATAAATAAGTAGTATGTAGAATTCTTGAGATTGGAGTTGTGCTTTCCTTTTAGAGTTAATGCATATTTCAGCTTCAGATGCATATTATCTAGTCTATAATTTTTGACAAAAAAAACTCATTGGTTTTATAAGCAGATTTGTAAAAATAAGTACCTTGTCTTTAATTGGTTCTTATTTCCTTACTTTAGTGGTGATGAGTTCCTCAACTTTCTTCTGAAATTAAACAACCAATGTGGCCATTTAATAACAGCTGTGCAGAATATCATTACTGAGTTACCTGTAAACTCTCACAAGGTATTAAACAAAGTGGTTTTTTGAAAAGTGTGATTGTTGAAGAACACTTCTGATAAGGTCATAATTCATTAAGCCATTGTGATCTGATGGATGTTAAGTCAGCTGTTCAACATAAACTCTAAAGTGATAAATTTGTCTAATATTTGTCCTCCTCATACTGATACATCTAAAAACTTTGTTCTCACCCTCACCAAGAAAACAAGGCAAAACAAAATCTAAACTGTCTTTGTATTGAACATTTGTTCTTAAAGAGGGTTTACTTGGTTAAAATACAGTCCAAGTGAAAGCTGAAACAAAACAGTGTGTTGAGTGTTACTTAAAACTATGTCAATATAGTTTTTCCTCATTAAGGAAATTTTGAATGGTGACTTAGAAAAAACAAACTTTTTGAGCTTTTCATGTGAGTTGGTTTTAGCTATTTATCTATAGTGGAAAAGTTTAAACAAACATGTTTTCCTATGGTTTGGCAGAATCATGTCATTTTTAAAGCCTTCACAAATTGATTTATTCACCACAAATATTATTACTAATATTAATTTGAACATAAAAATATATTTAGGAAATTCATATAGCAAGCTGATTCAATTATTTATTTTAGTAGTAGGATTTATTCTGAACCAAAACCTCAACTATTTAATTTTATTTAGATTATGCATATAAAATTATGAAATTTTATCTCCAGTTTTTGAAATATAGCTTTTGACAATATTAACAGATAGTGCTAGAATGGGCTTCACCCCGAAATTTTACTTCCGTTTGTGAAGAATTGGTTAGTAATGTTGAAGATTTGAATGAAGAGGTCTGCAAACTGAAGGATTTAATTCAGAAGGTATGTATTTCACATTAGAAGGGGGTAGAAACTAAGGGAATGTTTAAAGCAAGATGTTAAATAATGAAGCAGTCTTCACAAGAGGAACAAGTGGAACGCTTAAATAAGTAGAAAAAGGACAGTTTCCAAAGGAAGAAATATACTAAGAAACAAACGTAAGGAAGTGTATGCTGAAAGAACAATATACCCTTTCCATGCTTTTGATTAGCAAGAAAAAGATGTATCAATCCAACAATAGTCCTTCTAGAGTTCACTAAGCATATTCTCATGGAAACTGGTTGCACAACCCCTTTCAAAAACAATCTGGCAAGATGAACCAAAGACCATTAAATAGGGGTACATTTCAATAATAGTTCATTCCAAAATTGTATGTACTATAAATGTCCTATCCTAAGCAAACAATTTAATAAATTATGGTATGTATATATATTATACTGTGCAGCCAGGGGCTTAGGGTATATAGCTCAGTGGTAGTGTTTGATTAACAAGTGCCAGGTCGTGGGTTCAATGGTCAACACTCAAAACAGATAAAAATAATGTGAAACCAATTGAAAATAATTAGAATCATTTCATCAGCTTATTAAAGATAGTGCATCATTGCTTGCATATAATTATATAAATTATAGATTCAAAAAGATCAAAATGGAATATTATTAGCTCTGCCAGCATAGAAATATTAGCAGTGATATAATCCTTCCATTGGCTAGTCTCTCCATATTATTTTTTTATAATTGAACTGCTTTTAGAGTGTGAGTTTTTTTATTCCACCTTTATATTCATAAAGAAGCGTATATCTGGTTTTAAAGGCAATTTAAGAGAATTGTCATACCAAGAGGCAAGCTGCTGAAAACAGCCTTTGTTAAAGATAGTGAATGAGGTACTGGAGAGATGGCTCAGTAGTTAAGAGCACTGGATATTCTTGCAGAGGACCTGGGTTCGATTCCCAGCACCCACATGGCAGCTAACAACCATCTGTAACTCCAGTTCCAGGGAATCCAAAGTCCTCTTCTGGCCTCTGCGAACACTGTATGACACAGGTGCACTTCCATACATGGCACGTAAAACACTCAGACAGTAAAAAATCAATCAAAAAAAAATTTAAGAGAATAAAGAAAACACTGAGCCAGTTAAAGACTTATTTCAAAGACCCTCTCTGTATAACAAATCCTTTTGACGTTTAAAGCTTTTGTGACACATCTGATGTGATTTTATGCTATACATTAAAATTTTATAGTTTCAACTTCTAATTTATTTTTTCACCAATGTTTTATTTTAAAAATTTGAAGAGTAAACTTTTCATGTTCAAGGTATTTTGTTCCCCTCCCCGTTTAATACGTATTTAATCCAAAAAAAGTCTTTTAAAGCCAGAAGAAAGTTATGAAGCAAAATCTATAACAGTGGGAGGAAGACACTTTATATGGGGAAATAAGCAGTACATTTCACTTCTGAAATCAGTTAACTCTTGGAAGAGGCATTTTAGAAGTTTTATTATGTGTGATACTTACTCATTCAACAAACAAATGTTAACAGTGTCTACACACGGTAGAAAGAGCCTGAACTTGCTGACAGCACAAAAACTATAGCACTATACTCCTTACCACCTCCATCTCATCTAGAGTTGAAGGAGAGAGAAATCAGTTTTACTTAGCATGATATTTTTATGGGAATCCAAGGAAACATGGGAAGATTTGTGGATCACTTTAAATACAGATAATTCCTTAAAACATATTTGTCACAGAAGTAGTTACTAATTTGGTTTCTCCAATTCAAATTAAAAGCATAGAGGTAGGTGGAGAACTGAGATTGAATTAGAAAAAAAGAACCAAAGTATTCTGAGGTGAGTGAAGTTGAGACTCGGTGCTTTCAGATTTACTGAAACTAAAACATAAACAACTTAACCAGGTGTCACAGTGTTTGTTTTAATAATATATACCTATGAAGAGAATCTTCTTTTTTTCCTTATTACATGGATAGCTTTTTTCTGTGACATTGTCTACCTAGAATTAAAATTTTCTTTTTAAAAACTAGCCTTGAAAACATGCTAGTTAGTTTGTAATAATGGCAGACAGTTCTTTAATCAGGAACATCTTAATTTTTGAGCAAGTGAATGGGCTGGTTTTTCCAAACTAAAGTAGTCTTACACAAGCTGCAACCATTGTAATGACATTTTATTTAGAAAACTAGGAAGGCTTCTTATGTAGAAAGATTTTATCATGCTTCTTAAGCTTGTTCTAGTTCAGAGTTTACTAATAGGAATTTTTTAAAGAAGTGTACAAGTTATCACAGATAAGTATACAGAAGTAACAAAGAGAGGGTAGGAGAGGTCAAGGCTAGCCTTTAACACCACATCATTCTCTTTCAAACCAACACACTGACTACTCCTGACAGAAAGGGTCATTCTAAGTAATTGGTTAATAAAAGGAATGACTGTCTCAGGATTCAGTAAATGGAGCATCAGTGTCAAAAAGGAATCTGTTACTGAATGAAGCCATTTGGAAGTTAGACCAAGAATACAGCTTAATGAGATTGGCATCAAAGTCCATTTTTCTACTATAAATTTGAAATTAATTTTGCAGACTTTTAAAATTAAATATTTACACTGTAGAATTTCAAAGTTGTTATTCCTGCTAATGTTGAAAGTATTTCTATCACCACTCCAACCCAAGATGTTTCTAGTAAATATCACTCTATGAATGTGTCCAGTTCTTTTTATCTTTCAGGAATCTCTTGCTTTCTGCTTATCCTCCCTCCCTTGATCTACTCGAATAGCTATCTCTCACCTCCTTTCTCTCTCCCTTTCTCCACCCCCCCCATCACCCACCACACACATAGACACACTGGTGGGAGTGTTCTTTAGCACAAAAGCTCTATCTGTGGGAATTCAGAAACTGTCTGGGTTTGTACTTTCATTACTAAAAAATACTGAATTAAACTACTTATATTTTTAGTGACATTTAGTCTTACAATTATATTTACGTATCTTTCAGTTTTGCTAAACTTATTTATGAAGTTTATGAAGGCTTGCTATCTTATAAGAATGGCTCACTCTTTTATAAGATAGTAATTGGCATTTAATACAGAAAGGAAATAAATACCAATTGTTATTCCTTGTAGGTAAAATAGAAACTTTAAATTGACATTAAGGGAACTTTGTCTTATGACATAAAGATACTATTTTAAAATGTGATAATCTATAAAAGTATAGTTATTAATGAAAAAGTAATAGCTATAAAAGAATACTGGTAAAAGGCACATGTGTTCATTTTCAAAAAAATAAATAAAATATTGTTTACAAAAGGAGGGGTCTGGAGAGATGGCTTAGTGGTTAAGAACACTGGCTGTTCTTGCAGAAGACCCAGGTTCAAATCCCAGCACCCACATGGCAGC